GTTTATTTACAGTGAGTGCACCAGGTGATGATATATACAAAGTGTCAGGGAGAAGGGTCCAGGGTTCCAGAGGGGAAGGGGAAAAGGTCCAAAAACACACTCCACTCTCTCAGCAAACGCTTTTAAATATTATATGCTATGATTGTTCACTTTTTTGTTGTCATTTTACTGGAGTGAATTTAGGAAAAATGATGTCCTCACATCTTCTAGTCTTGCTGAATCAGGCCAACATCTGTGGGGTTTTTTTTTTTTTTTTTTTTAGATAAAATGTAAAGGGGAAAGAGAAACTGATGGATGGAAAAGTAAATATATAATAGTCATTCATACAGCTCTTTGCAAAAATAGTTCTACATACTACAAATAAAATATTGTGTGGATGATATTTTGATATTTATAGCAAACCCACAGACATCTGTTCTCGTCCTATTGGAGATGAGCTTTTTGGAGTTACGTGGTGTAAAAGTGAGCTGATGCTTGTTTGGCTTAGTGAGCCATTGAAATGAAATATGGATAAAATTATATATTTGGGAATTGAGATTGCAAAGAAATATAAGTATGAAGCAAATGTGCAGCTATGTAGGACGAGACTGAGACCTGAGTTCAGACCAGAGTTCTGGAGAAGAATCTTTATTGTGTGTTTAAATGTGAAAGTAGTGAAAATGATCGTCTCGCTCAACGGCTGTGTCTTTTTCACAATTTACCCATTTATATATCTCACTCACATGTTTTACGTTATTAATGCATTTATTTAAAAAGACCCCATAATTCTTTAATGAATTATAAGTCTCATAGAAATAAAAAGAACAACTTTGCAAACATAATACAAGTGAAGGGTGAATGTGCTAATATTAAGCAGCAAATATTTATATAGGTAAAATATACATGTTTCCCATTCAAATTAATTCTTTTTTTATTATAATTTTTAATAGTTTTAAATTATACTACAATCTGGTTATCAATTCTACTTTTTAAATCTGAGGCAAACAATTAAACTGTTCAAGTTCAGCATTCTATGTTTCACACTACCAATATCAACCAATCTATCTTTAACCCCTCAGTGATGGAGGATGCGTTAGAGCTCTGCAGTGTTGGTGATGTATGCATCCAGGGTGGATTTGCATGATTTCAGCAGCTTCAGTAAAAGCACAGGACAGATTTCTTCAGACATCTGCAGGTCAGACACTTTGTACAGACTTATTTCTATCTCTGTCTTAAGAACAGGTTAGTCCTGTTTTTGAGAGACTGCAGTGCAGAAAGACGTGTAATACAGTCTGTTTATTAAACAAAACAGGAAATTAGAAAGCTAAACATGATAGGACAGGGACAGGAATGGAAATAGTGACTGACCTGGAATAAAGGGGTTGAATTGGGTTGATACTGGTTTGGTTAATGTTAGTAACTCTTTAATAGAGTTAAAACGTTTGCACAGGCTGCATTACAACGAGGGCAAGTTGACCAGAATTTTTCCAGACATATCGAGGCAGGTCTGCTCTGCTGTTATGCCACTAGCTCCAAACGTCAGGACAGTTTTACAGGTTTTTAAAGTTCAAATATAACCAGAGCCTTTGGGCGTCTCAGGAAACTCACAGCATCTGCAGAATAAACAACGTCACCTCCCGTCCTTTGGCCAGCTGTATGAAAAAAAGAAGGTATTCTTCTTTGCTGGAAGTAAAAAGATGCGTCAGTCATTAGAGATAAGAACAGCGACTGATACCCTCGACCTGGAGAGGACACTGACATCCTCAGTGACAGAGTGGAGGATTTAAACAGACCTGGTTTTGCTCTAATAAAATGGAAGGATCAGATCCTCTGGCCAGAGGATTTGGTCGTGTGTGTCTGTGAGCATTGTTTTCTAAAGGTTATGACTTGTATCATGAACTTCTCATTAAAGATATTCAGAATGAAATTAGATTTATACTTTTTTTAAAAGTGGCTTTTATTATTCACTGACAAAATTCAGTTTTTACGGTAGACCAGAGATCTTACTTTCTCCATATTGTACTTTTGTTTAGCTGACAATATAGCCAATGTTGCTCATTTTTCTATAAGTGGCTTCTTACCTCAGCACCTTGGCCTTTGTACCTCCTTCCAGAGGAGGCTGGCATTGTTGGACACATTTCCTCTCTTTTTATCATGACTCCCATCCGGTCTCACACTCCACAGGCCCCTGAGTAAATGTCTCCAGGGAATGCATTGTGCCAGCAGGCAGCTGTTTTTCCCCTGAGCTACCACTACATATGTGTGTAAATGTGTTACACCACCTCGAATGTGATGAATTTCATCAGTGGTGAAACGAGCCTCGCGTGCTGCTCGCATTTCAAAGGACTGCAGCGAATAGTTTTTTCCACTCTGTGCATTGTTACCCTGCTGCTGTAAATGAGTCTCGTGGGAAACGTGTGTGTTGGCCAAACCATATCATATCAAACCACTTGCTATGTTCCAATTAAGTCTGTGTGTCTTCTTCAGAGGCCGAAAGGTGTCGGCTGTCCACCGATGCTCCGTATATTTGGTTAGGATGGATCAATATATAATTAAATATTTAAGGCGTATCCGATAGACAGTTGTCTGATATGATGAAGGTTGCTGCTTGACTGCAGCTACACGGGACAACAAATATTGCAATTATTCAATTATTTTCACATTTAATATTTTAATTAACCTTGTCATTGAAGGAGAGTGTCTAATGATTTGCATGTGCTCATCGTTAACACAAAAGGGTTAAAAATGTTTTTGCAACTATAAACTTCAGCACTGTCTGTCAAACCTCCAGTAATGTTTGCTCTTAGTTTTTTTCTGTGCCCACTCATATCAGCTAACATGCACTTTTGAACCCTGCTGGAGATGCTGAGTCTTCACTGTGACTGAAACCAGAGATCCATAATAATGGCATCATTGATCATTGGGCATCTTTTCTCCGTCATTGCCTTCAAAGCGTCCACTGCCATGAGAAATATTTCTGAAGCACAAAAGCAATCTCCTCAGTGAGAGGATTAATCTGCCCTCTCAGGCTTGACGTGCTTTTAGTCCCAGAGTTTCGGTCTTTCTGTGACCTTGTTCACTTAGAGGTTTTTGTCTTCTGCATGTCATACAGCGCCTACTTCACCCATATGAAAGATAAGAATGTGTTCCTATAATAAACACATAGAAATAGTTTTGGCTTTACAACGTATTTGGATGTTAAAATGAAAGTTAGTGGTGCCAGGTGTCCTTATTTTAAACAGAATTACTTTGAATGATCATCAAAATAAACACTGAAATGCAAAGTAATAACAAAATCGTTATTTTTTAGAATAATTAGTAAATTAGTTATGCTACAAACTCTGTAGTTTCTAAACATCTAATCAAAATATGCCATAATGCAATCATGCCATGCAGATACAACAAATCAGAAGGTAATGTCACCCCTGTGGTAATATTCATGGTGATATTATCTTCCCTACGCAAAATTAGGACATTACATAAATTTCCAGTTTATAAATCATCACGTTCTTAGCAGTCTTTAAAACATATTCTCTTATCTTTTCTCTCCTTACATCTTTCTGTACCTCTGAGAGTGAAATTATTGTACATTCAAATTTTTTCCCATTGCCAAACACAGCCACTGTATCTTTAGCTAGCACGACTAACATAATAATAATTCACCTGTTTGGTGATATTTGCTGAGCTAGTTGGCTTGACGTGATAGTGAAGCACAAATTACCACAACTTTGCATAAACGCACACAGATGCGTTTTTGCACGTAGAACATGTACATGTCATATCAGAAGGACATCTGATATAAAAAAATCTAATGCACATCCATCCACCCTGTGAATAAGCGGTCGACAGAAGCTTTATGCAAGGCAGCAAAGAATGTATCCAAAGCAGCATCTTCTGTTTTAGCCATCTAGATCACGAAAAATGAAACGGTGATACGAACAGCGCCACCTCACTTGTATTAAGTAAACATACAAACTATAAACTAGTACAGAAAAGGCATTTATTTAAAGTAGCCATCATCCTCTGCACCGACACGTCACAAAACTAACATTTTTGACGCTTCCATTTTTCTTGTGAGGCATCTCAAACAACTGGCAGCTTCATTTAGAGATAAACATAAAACACATGTCTCAGTGTAAACTATGATGTGGAGAGTATTGTGACTGTAGGATATGTTATTATATACCACACAGCCATACTCTCCATATCACTGGTATTTGTTTATCAAATGTGTTTGAGACACTTTGGAAACCATGAGGTTGAATGTCTCCAAAGTACCTCTAATTTGGTTGAAAGCTATAACAACAAATGTCTGCCATATTGCGATGGGTGATTATTATTTCCATCTATTTATTTATTTTTACCTCTAAGGTCTTTGCTACATTTCCTATTTTTCCTATTTCCTTTTGCATCTTAAATAGGTTAACGGGTAGGCTTATATCATACACACTCATGCATTCAAGATGTTTATAGAAAGAGCTGCACAGGTATTGCAGGACAAGTAGTATTCTTCCCAACAGGTTCAGCTGCAGTTCAGCACTTTACCCTGTGCTCATTCTGACACAGCAACATTGAGCATCAAGCTGTGCTTTAAAGTTGGGATGTTTTCGATCAGGGTAATCAAATTATAAGTGGCGGAACAGCAGCCTCATCAGTTTCACATGCATTTTACGGTTTTGGTATTTATAGGGCACCCAAGGCTAACCGCAGATATGCAAAACACCTATTATTCTATATTTATCGAGAGTACATAGTCATTACGACAAGCAACCTAAGCTTTGTCTACAAGTTTGAATTTTCTCCACACTTTAGATTCGTAAAAACCGTGTAATGTTTGCAAAAATGGTTAAAATGTCTTCATATTCATATCTACAGACTTTATCACTGACTCGTTGAGGCTGCAGTGAAAGTCCGTTTGGCTGTACTGTGCTTTTAAATCTACTGTAGTTCCGCCCTATTTCGCAAGAGCCAATCAGCAGCTCTGAAACATAACCCTGTTAAAATTCTAGACTAATCACAACTGTTTTTTCAATACCAGCCGAGCTCCTCGCTTTGTAGCAGGCTGGCTGGCGTTTCTTGCCTCCTGTCTACCATCAGTCTAAGAACCGCGCTCCACATATCATGTATACCCACAGAAAATACTCGTAAACCGGCTCCAGGAGACGGCAAGACTGCCTGGACACCGACACCGGATTCGGTGGAGGTTTTGTGATCGACTAACCCGAGCCGCTTGTGCCGTGTCCGCAGCATTAGGTAGGTGTTTTTGGTGGTGTTACGGTGTTGTAATGTCCCTCTACCTCTTCTCTCCTTCCCATTAGCTCGCGAGCTGCGACAGTTAAAGTCATATTTGTATTGGTTTATTTATTTTGCTGGTGTGGGTTTGAATAGGCGTGAACGTTTTGTCGCCGTCACAAACGTTAACATTCGCCTTCTTAAACTGAGGTTACATAATTGCTGGTGTACGGCTTGTTAGCTATCAAGGCTGGAAAAATGACCGCGACTGATACGAGTACGGGCAGATTAAGCCCTTGTCAAATACATAGGTGTAGCCAAGCTTACGTGCTGACAGATAACTCCGCCGCGTGCCGCCCTCGAGGGAAGTCGCGCCGAACTGTATTAAAAACGAGCCTTCGTGATCATCGCAGTCAGGTTACACATGTCGAAGACATTACATGAATTTTAAGACCCGCCAGCCTGGGTCAGCACTGCTCTAAGCACGTACTCGGTGCTATACAATATTTCCCTTTTATGCTCGTTAAAGTTCACGGTTGATACACATCAGTGGTTCAGATAAGCTCTACGGATTACCTAGAAGAACCAAACATTAAAGGAACCGTACGGTGACTTGAACCGTGTCCCTTTGCCAGGTGAAGAGTCATTTAATTGCAGGGTTTTAATAGAGCTTGGTTTTTGAGGCTATGTGTAACATTAATGGATAATTAATGAGGTTACGTGTGTAAGTGTTTCGACCTGAGAGTGCAGCCAATGTTGGAAAAAGATGTTCCACCCCGAGCTAATAGGGTCAGGCTTAAAAGTGTATTAAGATGTGGTTTTAATGGCTATTTCTTTATCCTGCTGTGGACCAGAGACACGTGATCTCCATTAAGTGCACTGATTGGATCATCGCACTTTACTTTTCCGTTATTTTGAGAAAGTAGTGTTGCTGTTTTCCACTGCTCTGTCCCATATTAGAAGTTCATATTCAAATGCACTGCTTACTGCAAATGTAAGCCTAGCAATAATATAGGACATACCAGGCCAGCGCTTCAGTGAAATATCCCCTGGACCTAAAGTTCTTAGATACACTTGTAGTCTGAAGGCTTACAAATGTTAATAATAATACTTTGTAGCAGCTCTGGAAGGCTGAAAGGGAAAAAACAGGGAGGGGGGCATAGTATTTCATTGTGCTGCTAGCCAGGAACACATCTGCTGTGTGCAGGTGGTCTGGGAAGAGCAGCTAAAGACTGAAGTCCAGTTGAAGAGTATTTTATCAGTGCTGGCCGCACTCAGTGAGTTGGCCTCCACAGCTGCAGAGCTGGATCAGTCGGACTCCAGCTCAATTATTCTCTCATTTCCGTGTCTGAAAAGGACACCCACCTCTGCATCACAATTATTACATCCAGTCAAGCAGCTGTGTTGCTGCTGGGCTTAGTCAGGATTTCAACTGCAGAGCACCATAATTCCTTACAGTCCGTAGTGCTCACTCTCAAAAACTCAATCTTGTCGAGGGCCCATATTTATCCAAGGTGTTGTAATGGTAACACCAGTAGTGAGACCTGTCACTAGATGTCCCGCATCGATCCTCTTCACTGTGAAACGAGTGATGCAGCACAGTTTGTGATGGACTCTGGTCATGGACAGGCTAACACCTTTGTAGCTGTCAGCAGCTTTAAAAGTTGTGAACTCTTCCTAGCTTTTCTTAACCTTGAGTCATTTGTGTTTTAAAATAAGTGTCAATGAAAAAACATTGGTGGAAAACAGATAACGTATCTATTGAAGAGAAGTCTCCAGCTCTGAAGTTTGGTGAGCACCCACGCACTGCTCAGGTTTCCTTGGTGACATGGAAAAACAACGGGCCTTTTCACTGTGGGTTTTATAGTTCACATGTAGTGCAAGCATGCACAGGCTTCCCACAGTTTGGGATGTCTGATTTTAATTTGCATACAAATGACAAATGTGTTCATCTAATAATGAATAGAAAATTAGATGTTTTGTGTGACTCCAAGCTAAAAATCCTGGGCATTAGTTTTAAAATAAAGCCTGAAAGATTCTGTTAGTGATGCCTGAATTATTATTTAGCTGGAAATCATCACTGGAAACCACTCTTAATACCACACCTGTAACCTTCCACGGCAGTCAGGTTTGACCTGATTTCTTTGGAGGTGTATGGCAGGTTACATGGAAGATGATGGTGTAGGGTTAAAGGGATTTCCAGTTACAACGTAGATTTCCTGCTGAAGCATAAGCCTGCAGTCTGAGAGTAAACTGCTGTATTGGGATGATATGGTACTATGAGGTCTTAAAGATTAGATGGGGCCTGATTATTTAAGACTTTATATCTGAGGAAGGATCTTAAATTAGAGCGTGGATTTAACAGGGTGCTAATGACGAGAAGCCAGTAAGGGAGAAACATGCTCTCTCCAGTCCCTGTCAGTACTCTCGCTGCAGCATTTCGGATCAACTGAATGCTTTTTACAAACCTGATAATAATCAATTACAGTAGTTCAGACTAGATGTAACAAGTTTTTCTGCATCACTCTGACGAAGGATGTTTCTAATTTTAGAGAGTGCACAAACGTAAAAAAGCAGACCCGCATTTTTGTTATGGTCAAAAACAACTCAGATTCTTGGGTGTTACTGGAGGTGAGTATGTGTCCGGCTAGACACCATGTTCAAGATTTTTTTGTGCCAAGTACAATAACCTCAGTTTTATCTAAATTAAATTCAGTTTTATTTACATAGTGCCAAGTCACAAAAGTTGCCACGAGGCACTTTATATTGTAGGGTAAAGACTCTACAACTATACAGAAATCTTACAAGCAGGAAATCAGAGGCCATCCAGGGCTTGTCTTTAGGACATTCCTGCAGTGTAGCTAATTGGTGTGTGTTATCTGGCTTCATGGACAGAGAGTTGAGTATCATCGAATGATACTGGCTAAGGAAGGCATGTATAATGTAAACAGAATTGTTCCTAGCACTGAAGCAGCGTCTGCAGTATGCATCTAAAAAAAAACTCTTTTAAATCCATTATAGTTTATTTTAAGTAGATTTTAAAATAGGTTGCTTTTCTGACTGCAGATAAAATTTCTCTTTGTCAGGAAGAACATCTGGTGTAAAAGTCTGCCAAGTATAAAGACACTTTCAAACAGTTAAGTTACATTTACATGAAATAGTTCAGCTTGACCAGCTTAATGACTCAAGCGCACATACAGATATTTGTACATATCTGTTTAAAGTTTAAACTGTATTTATTTACTAGAAACTCTTGTTTTTTTTCGTCGAGTTTTGCACTGAATGGGACAACATGCAATTCCGTTTTGCTTTTTGGCATCATGACAATAAAAGAATCTGAGATTCTGGAAATAATCAGCAATGAAGAATTATCCAACCATCCAGAATATACCATGGTCCAAGAGGAATCAGAACTGAACCATCCTCCTTCTACCGATGGCCCTGGCAGCACGTCTGTGTGCTACTGCGTTCTAAATTGTATTCATGCTGGTGGCTGCCGACTCCATAATTTCATTTACGTGTACCGTACAATGACAGTAAAGGGCTATTCTGTTCTATTCTCACAAGGTCAAGTCAGTGGCAGATTTACCCCTCAGCTGCTCTTTCTTGTCATTCTTCGTACTGCTGCATGATGTTAGAGAGTGGAGTTGTTTCTCCACTGAGGTGAAGCTCAGTTACCTGAGGACTGCATTACTTTTGCAGAGAGCATTGAAAGCAGTGTTCTAAACCTGACAGAGCTGTTACTTTCTTCACTAAAGTGAGATTGTTGCGGTGTGAAGTGTGAATGCTTCCTGTGTGAATTGCATGTAGGACACAGAATTATAATAGAGGAAACTGGATGGTTTTGCTGACGTACTGTGGTGACATAAAATGCATCTTCACACTTCTAAGCCAAAAACATGTATGTTTAAGTCAGCTTCATTGGGATTTACCATCTCTGTTGGTCTGCAATTAAACAATAAATGAGAGGCAATCCAGCAGTGTCAGTTACATTAATAAGGCTCAATGTTGTATTCGTGGTAAAGCACAGACGGAACAGCTGAGCTGTTTCAGGCTTGATACATATATGCACTTACAGCAGGTGACGGGAGATGCACAGACATGTCAGTTACTTTCAGCTGGACGGCCTGTAGCAGCAAACAGAACCAACCAATCAATTCACAGTTAATTTTGTTTATATTCAACTTCCCATAATTGTTAAGTGTAACTGGATGGGTGTACATCGAGCAGATGAGATGGAAAGGTAAGAAATGCTGCTGCAGTGAAATCAGTGGTGTGAGAAAGGACAAACACTGCACAGTAGGAGTCGCACAGTGCTCCCTCACTATAACGCGGTTCACCTTTCCCGGCGTCGCTGTTTCGTGCATGCTATTTTTTTTTTTTTTTTTTTTTTCACAGCGCATTGTGTTCTGCGTCCTGATTGGCTGTAGGCCATTGCCAATCAATCTCCTGCCGTGTCTCCTGTCCAGTACAGAGTGTGTTCAGCTTGTCAAATTTACACAAATCTCCGATCCTGGCAGTGTGACTCTGAAGTGCTGTACTGTATGTTTGTAAGTAAGTAACAAACACAACAATGCCGATGAAAGATTTTGCACCGTCAAAGGCTCCTGCAGTAGCTCCCAAAAGGCAGAGGAAGATGCTAACCATCACACAAAAAGCTTCTGGACATGCCAAAGGAAGGTAGAAGTTACCGTATTTTCCAGATTATAAGGCACATTAAACGAAAACATTCAAATAAGTCAAACTTTACTCATTTATTCTTCTTGCTTCCTCTACTTCCGTACCATTGATTCATTATTGATTCATTAATGTTGAATTCTCTGGCAGCTGCTCTATTCCCATGTTCTGGAGCTGAAAACAGGGTTTGATCTTTGGTTTCATTCTATGATACTGGACTTATTTTTCTATGAAGGTTTGAACTTTGAGAGTGTAAACAAGAGAGAAAAGTGTGAAAATGTTCATGCCTGTCTGAGAAAAGAGTATAAAGTGTGTAGTGAGGAGTTTCTTAAAACATCTATAAT